GGATTAAAAAAAATGAATTATTTGAAACGTGCAGAAAGAAGAAAATTTAAACTACAGATATTTTAGAAATATCACATTCATAATTAACAAAGAAAGAAACTTGTCTTTCAGGTCGAGCGAAGATCCTAGAGATTTTTACGTGGTGGGAGTGCAAATCCCAACCTGTAGGAGTTTAATATTTTTATCCACAACCTGGAGAAGTGGATTCACCTCTTGGTTTGGATTGTCGTTCTCCTAGACTGGTTGCCAACCAAGGCTAAAAAACCCAGTATACCCTGCTATTTTAACACATAGCTGATGGTGGGGAGACGAGAGATGGATCCATGCATTTACTAAGAACATTAATGTGAAGTGAAGTGAAAACTACTGGAATTTGAACTTGGACCACAGATTCCATTTTCTATGTTTTTAACCATTGGGTCACCTGAACATCTATAATCCCAAGATAATGAAATTAAAATTTTCAGATTGTTGCAACATACAATCATAATCTTGCATGAGAAAACAAGTTAGATCCAATTTAAAAGTATTCAATCTTGGGGTTTGGACTGGGGCTTGAAAAAAAAAAACTCAAGGAATACATTTGCATCTATTTTATGGAATGAAAGACAATGTGTTTATCTAAGAAAAACAAGCATTCACCTGGGTGCCATTTGGATACTGCTGCTGTCGTTTCTGCAAGATCTGTTGTGCGCTCGGATAGGGCGAGGCTCTTCTTTGATGATTGTACATAGTCGGCATGGTAGGTTTACTGGGCATTCCTCCAGGGCCTGGAGGTGGACCTTGAGGCAACGCCATGCTCCCTGGGGGAGGACGTTGTTGTGGCATACCATACTGATTATTAAAATGTTGCTGACCCTGCATCTAAAGGAGAAAAAATAAAAAATAAATAAATGACTGAAAAGAGAAAAATTGCAAAAATCAGATATTTGCTAATATTCAAACCATCCCAATTAAAGATTCTAGTCAATTTGGATTAAGTTTGGAATTACTGAAGTTCTCAGCTTTTAAGAGAATCTCATCTTCATTACAGAAACCCTTTATGTGGTGTAGCATCATGTTTTTCCTCTAACTTCTTGTCTTTTGTTGTTTTCAGAAATAACTTGATAATCCCAATAATAAAAAGAATGCATATACTTAGAATCAGAGAGAGTTGAAATTTCTGTGAGAAATAAGGAAAGCGGGCTTGGCGAATTTGACACTCACAGGACAGATTGAACACTACAAGAGCCAAAGGAAGTAACCTACCTAAAATTTACACACAAATTTAACTGAACAGAATTGAAATAAAATAAAAACAACAAAGTCACCATCTAGGTTATGACATAAATGCCAGAATTAATAAAATGATTTATTTAGGAGATAGTTTCAAATAAATAGCAACTAACCCATGGTCATGAATTTTACCACTGTTCATATGAGAGGGAGCAAGCACACATAAAAATATGCAAATGTAAAAATTGGAACAGGATGGTGGTGGGGTCTATGATATATATGTACAGGGTGCGATGTGTAAATTGTCGCCATTATATATTTTTAATTCTATGTATGCATGTTGCTTATTTTTGATTTTGTTAACACAATCAGTTGGGCACTGTCTAAGAAAAAAAAGCACCATGATGCAATTCACTCCACCAGAAATTTGGAAACAGCATGCTGTACTGCTTGGCATTCGCGCTAGAAACTCCAATACAAACATTGAAGATTGTTTGGGGGTCAATCTGAGAGGACAGTGCAAAGGACGAGTCTAATGGTGATTACTAATTTCTGCAGCCACATCACCCCTAACATCTGGCCACTTAACTCCCCAGACTGCAAGTAACCCTCTTGATTATTATGCGTGGGGTGCAATTGATTGAGAGACCAACAAAAAACTCCTTGTAACACACCAAAGATGAACTGAAAGCATGGATTATGGCAGCATTCATCAACTTAAACAAGGAGACCGTCCAGAAGAGTAGCAGGAGATTCCAAAGTTGTCTGGAGGCCATGGTTGAAGCCAATGGTGATTTTATTGAATAAATTTGCTTTTTAGTATTTCAAGATATATTTACCAAAATTATACAAAAATATCTGTTAAAATTAAATGTCAGTGTTATTTTTATTTTTGCATAATTTAGACAATTTAACCATTGCAGTATATAAAATTTAACCATTGCAGTATATAAAATTTAACCATTGCAGTATATAAAATTTAACCATTGCAGTATATAAAATTTAACCATTGCAGTATATAAAATAATTGCAAAAATCATATATCTGCTAATATTCAAGCCATCCAAATTAAATATTCAAGTCAATTTGGATTCATTTTGTAATTACTAAAATTCTTAGCACTAAGAGAATCCCTAATCTGATTTATGCTTAATTATTATACATGAGAGATTTTACTCTCATCAATGAGTGATTTACTTTGTGACCATTGATAATCCCTTTATTCCTTATTTGCAATGCATTTCTATCCTAAAAATAGACATTTTGTCAAAATATCAGACAAAGGAATAATGCACAGGGAGAAGTAAATTCATGCCTTTCCCAATGGTATTAGATCAGAGTGAAAACAAGCAGGCAGCCTCATTTGCAATTCATTTCCAACCAAAAACTGAACTCATCGTCAATTCAATTTTTCATGCTGATAACTGTTCTGCGACCTGACACCTACATTTGGTACATATATAGAATACAGAGAAAAGTGGGTTCATGCCTTTCCTGAGGATATTAGCACACATTTAACATAAGTAGCCACAGCCAAAATTTGTATTGTCAATTTTATTTTACATCTTAATAATTGCCATGTTCTCTTATACCTCCATTTAGTGCATATATTGAATGCAGGGTGATGTCATACCTCTCCTATGGTTGTTACTTCTAGTAATTTTCCAAGCGTAGCATAGATGTAGCACAAGGTTGAAAGTATGGGGCACCCAGTGAGGATCAAACTCACTATTCAGTCATAAATGTTCTAGCAAGACAAGCTTGCTAACCATTACACCGCCTCAAGGTGCCCAAAAATGATTTTCTAAGCCTAGCTTAGATGTGGCCCAAGGCCGAAAGCATGGGGCACTCAGTGAAAATCAAACTCATTACTCAGTTGTAATGGTTCTAGTGAGACAAGCTTGCCCCCATGGTTATTACTTCTAAATGGACCTAAGTAGCCTCAGCTGAAAGTTCAAGTTCAGCTTGCCAATTCCAATTTTTCCACATGGATAACCATTATATGCTCACCATGTCACAACGTCATGTTATCTTTACTGACAAACAAAATATCCAATCATTTTGGAAGCAAGCAATGCCACAAGAACATTCCAAGGAAGGAATCCATCCTATTTCACTGTTACACAACCAAGGAATCAAACTTTAAAAAGGTCAAAAGAACAGAGCAAGGCCCCTGGTCTCACCAAATTAAATCAGTTTGAAGACTTCAAGGGTAGGGATAAAGTTTTGCAGATCCTGTTCTCCTCACAAGGAATTAATTCATGGGACACTAAAGTGCAAACCAAGTGTAAATGTTGACCGATGACCAAAGTAGTCACTAATAAAGTGAAGGTCTGTGGAAAGCATTGCAAAGAGAAACATCTGTCAGCTTAATTGAAGGCATTTGAGTCATGAGTTGCCGTTCAGGATCATTAAACCCCCCACCTCCTACACCAACCAAGTCGTAGGGACCATTTTAACATCATTTGAAGGATTATCTGGCACATTGTTTATTGATGTGTGACATTCCAATCAAAAATTTTTTCGGGGCAGAAATTGAAAAAAATGCATTAAATTGTCATAAAAAGTTCTGTTTAAAATTTCTACATTATTGAATGCAAAATAAAACATGAACATTTTAGTATGCATTATTATCAATAATGGCTTTTTTGCTTCAATTTCTTTTCTTGTTTTCCTTTTTGAAAAAAAAAAAGGAAAAAGGGAAAAAGCAAATGAGGGTGAAGAAAAGAGTAAAGAAAAAGAAAGAAAAAGAAATGGAGTTGGGGAAAAGAAATGGAGGAAGAAAAGAAATGGAGGAAGAAAAGAAATGGAGGAAGAAAAGAAAAGAAATGGAGGAAGAAAAGAAAAGAAATGGAGGAAGAAAAGAAAAGAAATGGAGGAAGAAAAGAAAAGAAATGGAGGAAGAAAAGAAAAGGAATGGAGGATGAAAAGAAAGAAAAAGAGATGGTAGGGAGGGGTAGAAAAAAAAGAAATAAAAAAAAAGAAATAAATAAAAAAAATGAAAAAGAGGAAAAGGAAGTGGGGGGAGGAAAAGAAAAGAGAGAAAAAATTTATGATTACTCATTAATAATATAATTTAATCTTTATATCGTAACCTCACCCTAGTGCTTAATTGATGCCAAAAGTCAATACCTGAGCTCAGCAAAAATCCAAATATTTGGATACTGAATTCAAAGAGAGGAAGAGCCTCCACTTTTAGGAGATTACGCCAAATGGATCTTAAATCTATTTAAGTCTTGCTCTATATGAAAAAATATCAGTAAAAGACATCCTTTTGCAAAATGATTCTTGTAGTTTTGAATACTTTCTGTTTGAGGAGAAATAAAATTCACTTCTTATAATTGGCCAAGGAGATTTAATACAGAATCTAAATTAGTTTGAAACTAAAAGCATCAACTGATTCACTGGCAAATTTTAGAGAAATAATAATGCTGTACAAATTAAGCCCCATAAACATCCTTCAAGAAAATCATGGCAGTCAGAGATAAGTTTTAACAACAAATAGGATACTGTAAGCTCAAACTTACAATCAAGCAATTTGCCATGAGGTAATGATTAACAAGATATGCATGGTGTATTTGCTATCCTCTGAGAATCAGTTTCTTCATAAAAATCAAATATTCCTCTAATGTTGTGATATTATAACTCAGCTTGCCTTCATTTGGTAGGGTTAGCAATTTGGAATATTTAACACTAATCAAACTCAACCAGTTGTTAGGATCTGTTAGACTATCTTTTTAACCATTACCTCAGGGCAAATTGCTTGATAGAGAGATAAATATATATTGATAGATATATAGAGATAGATGGAAAAAAGAGAGTATGGACACTTCTAGGTAAGTATTAGCTTCATGCCTCAATACAATCTTCACACTAAATCGTGTATTGAAGAAAAAATTCTTACAAAGAAAGCTTTAGCAACTGAAATATTGCAGCAAGTGAAAAATTGCTGAATATTTATTTTAAATGTCAGTGTTCAAATATAGAGCAAATGAATTTGGCACCACAGAGGGGACAGAGAAACTAACTCCCTCAAAGAATTATGTGATGGAGCGGGGCACCATAAATAGCATTATCTACATTTTTCAGGTTGTATCTTGGAGACAAAGGATAAATCTTCAAAAATAACCTAAAAGACTTTAATTCAGGTGATGATTAGTTTTCTATTATTATTATGCCAATGCCAATTCTCACCTCTCAGAAATTGAACATTTCATTGTTTACATTTCAGTGCCCTACAGCCTGTATGACTACAAGAAGAAAAACAGTAAAATATACATTTTTCTGAAAGGCAAACCTTTAAAGATTACAATTTTGATAAAAGCCAGTCAGCTTCTATTGCAGAGTTTTGAATAATCTTTTCCCAAATTTTCTTGACTGGCCAATGACATGAAAATGCAATATGATTCTATTAAGACAATAGTAACCAACTCAGAGAAATGCTATTATTGATTTTTATCTTACTCATCATCAATGACACACCATTAATTTCATGCCCAGCGATTTGTGCCCAGTTTAGTAAGGTCCCTTCTGATTGGTTGCTTAATTACATCATGGCTAAGCAACCAGTTCTTGAGAGATTCAAAATGGCAATAAGTGTTCCTAACAGACTTTGTGGAGTGAAAGTTTTAGATCAAAATTCAAATAATAACTGTGTCAAGCTATGGACCTTGATCCAACTTAATGTGTGTGTGTGTACACACACATACATACATGCCTAACTTAGAGTGATGACTAACAGATAAGCTTTCCAGAATATTAAATTCATTGGTAACTGATTAAGCTATATAACAGTATGTCATTACTATTTTTCCATAGAATACCATCCAAAAAGTACTGATACTACTGCTTACCAAAATTCCAATGTGACCTATTGTCTCTGGTATGGGCATTGCCCTTTACAAATTCATAAAACGTTCTAGCAAAAATTTTAAAACCTATTTTAGGAGCAATCAGCCTTTCATACCTTAAGAATTCTGGTAATCTCCTGAACAAATTGACTATTAAAACTAAATCCACAGCTTGCTTAGATATGAAATACTTATATATGAAATACCAGTTGACAAAGCATTAAATTTTCTAAAGCACTTTTTTTTTTTTAATCAGTTCATCCCAAGCAAGGCAATAATGCCACTAAGACACAAGAGGTTACTGGGAGTGAAAAAAAATGTAAAGACTTTAGTGAGGAGAAAGGACAATAAACAAACAGGCCCAGGAAGACGAAAAAATTGTTGTTGCCATCAAAGCTACAGAACTCGGTCTGTCCTGCTATTTAACCATAGCTGGGGGGAAAAGAAGAGGATTCATACCTTTCTGAAGGGTATTAGCATGTCAGTCAGTCAGTTATGTGCCATGTGTGATATACAGCTGCTCAGACTCCATTTTAGCAGCCATATCAACTGCATATTGGTGAAAGAGATCTTGAGAGTGAGGAAGATGATTAAATGAGTTGCCACGCATCATAAAACTGGGCACACAGAATTCCTTACACTATACTTCTTAGTTAAACTATCCCCCAGATTGCTTGGATTCAGTCAGTTATGTGCCATGCGTGATACACACTTAGGCGATCATGTATCTTTTGATACATAACTGTAGGTTGCCATTTCTTTATGCAGTAAACTAGTTGCCATCCAAGGCTATAGAATCCGGTCTGTCCTACTATTTACCCATAGCTGGGAGGAGAAGAAGAGGATTCATACCTTTCCCAAGGGTATTAGCATGTAAGTGAATGTAATGGATTCGAGTGGAATTTGAACTTGGCTCTGATTCCTTAATCCGAGCCGCTATCCATTACTCCACCGTAATTGTTTGGCACTACAGTGAATCAACTTTCCTAACAATAGACATAGCAATTGATTCAATATAATCACTCCACTCTATGTCAGTGGAAAATGTGAGCCAAACATGGAGTTGCTCTTCTGGAGATTAACATCAGCCATGCTGACTGCAGGCAAAAAATATTCTCTATGGCAGCTAAATGATAGCAGTTTTGTTTTGGAGGCATTAAAATTTACAAGTCATACTTTGCCCCAATTAACCACTGATTTAAGGTCATTTTGCAAGCTGTGCCAGTTTTACTTTGTTTGACTGGCTCCTACAACAGCATCCTCATAAATTTATCATTTACCTCTCAATTGATTTGGATATGCAAATTAAACTGGCCAAAATTTCAACGTACGCATTGTATGCAATTTTTGTGCACTAAAATCTTTAGTTTGGGTAATGGCCTGAATGGCTCAGAGAATATCAATTCTGGAGCCTCCACTGTTTTTTAGTTGTTTAAAAGTGACGTGTGAGTATATTCATTTTTTATGTGAACTTGTCATTGATGTATTTGACTTTTCAGATGTGTTATGTTGAAAATACCAAACATGTTTGAATGAAAATATGCTGCCTAAATACACACACACTCTCCAGTCACTGGCGTATTTGTCTAAAAATAAATACGTCTAAATTTACCTTAATCCCTGCCGAACACCAGTAGGTTACGGGTTCGATCCCAGCTCAAGGCAATGGGATATCTAGCTGATGAGCTGTGAAACAACAAAACAGTCTGCCTGTGGATGACATATATATATATATATATATATATATATATATATATGACAAAGTGGAAAGGTTTTTGTGTGACATTTCCTCCTTTAGAACTTTATTGAATTAGGTTTGTTTATGTTGATGCGACTACGCATGTGCGCGAACGAGAAATGGTAAAAATTTAAAATTTAGATAAAGACAACTAAAAGATTAAATGTAGTTTGTCTGCCAGAAGACAGATAATACACTTTGATCCTAGCCAGATGGCCGGAGACTAATAAAAATAACTAGAGTAGTACTTGTAGCTCAGTCAATGAATACCGAATGTTTCCTTATAAGTAAATATCTAATATTACCCTTATGATTTTGTGTGTGTATTTGGGGGTGGGGGAACGGGATCTTACCTGGACCTGTGGGCCATATTGGTTATTCATATTCATGTTCATATTCATGTTCATCTGTTGTTGTTGATTCTGTTGTTCTTGAATGGCTACCATACTGGCTGTTGCTGTAGCCGTTGCAGTGGCTGTGGCAGCTGCTGCAACGAGGGCTGCTGAAAGAGCTGCAGGCGCTGCTGGGTATTCATTATTGCCGGACATCTGAGGAGGGTTTGAACCTGGCGTGTTAGGAGTGGGAGGATAGCCACTAAAAATAAAGAAGAAACAAAAAAGATATTAAAGAAGACCAACTATAAATGACAAAAAAAAAAAAAAAAGGTAATAAATTTTTTCATAGCTAGGGTGAGTAGAGGGATGTAATTTACAAACTCAATACAATTCAATAATTTATTCTATACAAAATGACTATGTATTTATTGGTTACACAGCCTGATCTCCCTTATGGCAATAAAGAAGCATTACATGATACCAAGTGAAAATCCCTTACATGACCACAAACAGAAAATATAATTTGCATGTAGTTAGAATGTTTCAAATACAATGCTTTTTATTTGTTTTTGTCGGTTTTCTTTAGAGATTTTTATTTTTAATGATTTAAAAAAAAAACACAAAAACAATGTTTTCTTAGATGTCACAATGGAGTTAATTGCATAAATATCTTAGATTCTGCATGAAATATAACCCAAGTATCTACAAAGTTACTTAAGAAGGCCAATATTTCTTCTTTTTTTTGTCAGTACAAGTAAATACACACACACACTTTATATATCCCTCACGAATAGCACAACTCTAAAATAAAAAAAAATCTTTGTTTTCTCTCTATCACATACATATATATATATATATATATATATATATATATATATATATATATACACATAAATTCCATTTATTTTAAATGCCAAATATAATTTTTAAAATTAAAAAACTATAATCCCAGTATAATATATATTTGCAGCAACATTAAAATAACCAGATATATATTGTTAATATTGAAATTATGTAAAGCCAGTCTATATTCAGCACGCAAAGATTGCATTGTGCATTAAAGTTTGTTTCATGGTATTAATGAGGGATAATATATATATATATATATATATATATATATATATATATATATATATATGTGTGTGTGTGTGTGTGTGTGTGTGTGTCTTGTTTTTGTTGAGGCAGGACTTAATCTTGCACAAAGCAAGGTGGGCCCTGCCTGACAAAGGATTTGTCATAATGATTTGAGGTATAGTTTTATACGGCTGGATGATTTTCCCCAACACTCAATTTAGACACTCCTGATAGTCCAAGTACAGAGTGTTTTTCATTGAGAAACCATATCTAGGAAGGTTGCCATTCAAGGTTAAAAGACCCCACCCTATATATATATATATATATATATATATATATATATATATAGGGTGCGTTTCCTATAAGAAATTCATTCATTTTTTTGAGATGTCTTGTTTTTTGTCCTGTGTGGATGACATGCCACCTTCCTTACTAGCAGAAAAGCTAATGGGAGAGCTGGTTTAGATGCCAACCACCCATCCATGTGGCAGGTTGTACTGGGTTGTACGTGTGTTTAGTGTTAGCTTGCTTTGAATATTTTTACTCTGAAGGATTTAAAAAGCAGAATTTGTTGTTGCTGCATACAATAATAGTCAATTGCATAAATAACCTAGATTAGGCTGGGGAAAAAACAAATGCACAATTACTTAAACCTGAACGCCATTTTTCAATGTATAGATAAACTAAACACACACACACATATATATATATATATATATATATATATATATATATATATATATTTTCATGGTTTAGAAAGCAGAATTCTTTCTTACATTTGACAACACATTGAATTGTATAAAGAAAAAACCCTAATAAACTTTTCAAAATATAAAGTCAAATGGAAAGTAATGTACAGGATGGTCCAAAAGTATTGTCACCCCCAGCATAATATAATTTTCTATTTCAGATGGCCAACACAAGCTCCTACAGCTTGGAAGATAGATAAGGAGTGATAAGACTTTCGGACCACACCAGTAGAGCTAAAATTTCTGTAAAGTCATGCGTGTGCGTATGACTGAATAAAGTCAAAAAACTTTTCTTTACCAACATGTTTTGTACTCTGATGAACTTCAAGGCAAACAAGAATTTTATTTATTTTGCAACAAGTATTTATGAACAGTAGTTAAATTCAAAACCTATTATTAAAATAAATCAATACCTTAATATCTCAAACTAAAATAAACAGTAATTACCTTAAAAGAAAATTCAACAATATTTACTCACTTTCGTTTATTAGGCATTAAATTACATCCCTCAGCATCCTCTATAGATTACCTTTATTTTTGGTTAGCCTTGATGAATATTTATTAGTGTATTTTAAGTTAAAAATTTTGAAAAATTAATGACATTTTTCATTTTGTTTGTAGATAACTGTTGCAAAATAAAATTGTTATGTTCGCCTTGATAAAATTCATAAGGGCACGAAACAGGTCAGTAAAGAAAAGTTTTCTTTTCATCTTTATTCATATTGTCTTTTCATTGATATTTTTTGTTATATCTGAATTTTTATATAAATAATTTGAAATATATGCTTACTTAACATACAATAGCCAAATGTGCTTCAGACTTTATTGTTGAAAAACCAGAAAGCTACCAACCAAGACTTTATATTTTAAAGTAATAAAGGCTTGAAGTATAGACAGGTTAAACATATTTTCCAATACTTCAATCTCTTAAGTGCTGTTAAGAACTCTTGTGGGAGTTTAAACATGGAAACCAGTAGAGAAAGAGATCAACTAAAGTATATGTGGATCATCTAAGAAACGATACTGGTTTCAGGGACGAAGAACTGACAAAGATTGTGGGAGGCAGAAGAATGTCAGAAACTAGTCAATGGCGTCCCAGTTTGCTCAAGTTAAAAATCTTATAATTGCTGTAAATTTATTAAAATGAGTTTCACCTATTCAGACAAAAAGCTATCAACAATATTAGATTGAGTCATAAATAATTTGTTTATCAAATTTACTCTTAAAAAAAAAAAAAAAATAAATAAAAAATTACATCTTATTCATTTACAGTCACCATTATTTGCACAATGACTTGCTGCCACTTTGGTTACTCTTCGATATATTTTGAGTGAAATATCACAGGTTTTGACGTGAAAATTTTTTCCATTAATCTTGCTTTCATCAGAGAAAGCTTTTATGCCATCAAAGGGTTTTGCAGTGACCCCAAAAGGTAATTGCTTGATGCAAAGTCAGGTGGATATAGTATGTGGGGTAAAATGGAATAAATCGAAATCAATATTTTGTTCCTGTTATTTCTGCTGTATGTGGCCTTGTGTTGTCATGAAAAAGAACATTTTTCCCCCATTGACAAGCACAGTGTGGTTTTTTGACCTAACTTTTATGGACATGTTGCAGCTGCTGGATATATAAATGTGCATTTAGTGTTTCAATGCATTTTGAGAACTCTAAATGAATAATACCCCAATAAGCCCATCATATGCACAACATTACTTTAGCATTGGGGATTTATTCTTGTCTTTTTTGCATTGAACATTGTTGTATGTTAGTGTAATACAAATTTATTAACTGCCACATATGATTAGTAATTAATGATATCTTCATCATTACAATAGTTTCCCCAAAATGGTAAGTACTCATGACTCAACCTAATATATGAAAATTATTTCTCAATCAGGAAAAGAAGCTAAGTATTAGAGAAAGAGCATAATGTGAAAAGGCATGGTGTCACTTCTCTCTGCAGGCTATATCATCATATATCTGGATAAAATCTTGTCACTGGCATGCCACAATAGAAGATGGAAGAACGGACAATCTCTGATAACTTTATTGTCTTGGCCACAGCAACAGAAAACTTACTTATATAACTGGCTTTGAAAAATCCCTCCTCCATAACTACTTTACCTACCCTGGCAGGTAAAAATGCTATGACACTCATTGCTAACCTTCATAAACCACTATCTCACACAAACTACATTTATTGGGGAAGAATACTTAATATCAGAGATAGAGGGTTTGTAGATTTAAATGGTGTGGATACAGAAATCAAGATTGTTTTTAATGATCATTAATTAGACCATGTGATAATCACTTAAGTCATGAAACTTCAAGTCACCATACAGTGTTGATTCCTATGTGTATGTTATATATATAACTTTTTTCTTTTACTCATTTACAGCCTGTTTCATGCTTAGCAATTTTTAAAAATGGATGCTTGTTTATTTTGAATGCCCCCAATCTCTACAGTTCACTTTAAGAAATAAAAAAAAATAAAAAAATAATGGAAATAATTTTGTTTATTAAATCCTACATATTTTTAAATTTTATGATTTGCAGTTTCTTCTCTATGCATAGGATGCAATTTCTACTTTTCTGTATATCTTTTTTTTTATTATACTATTAATACTATTATTTTATTATACTACTAACAATGTAGTAACATATTTAAAAAAAGAAATATACAAATAATATAACAAAGTTTTTGTTTTCATTACTTTTACAATCAGGTTGTTTGCTAAATATTAAATATTATCAAATTCATAAGTTGTGGGAGAGGAATCTAAATTTGGATAAGAGAATAAATTGTGTTTGTTTAATGGCATATCAACTCCTTATGGGTCATTTAATGCCAAAATTTAATTTTCTTGGGAGTTTTGAAGTAATAAAAATGTCATTCTGCTTTCACAATTGAATACATGGTAAATGATACTTAGCTTTTGTGCATATACATGTTTGTGTAGATGTAATTACTAGAGGTGGTGATGTGCGTTTTATGTTGTAGTTAAAGCTATATTTTGGAATACAGTTCGATTTAAGAAATTGTAGAATATTATTTGGATTATGTCATGAAAGAATTCTTTCATGTTGGTTGATTTTGTTTAGTGGCATATCAACCTCCATGGGTTATTTAATGCTGAAATCTAGATATTTTGAACGCAATTGTATGCCTTCAACTACAGATAAATGTATTGTTAGTCATTTTACTACAAATAGGTATTGTTGGTAGTAAAGTTTTTTTTTTTTTTTTTATACAAAAATATATTGCTGGTATTTTTATGCTTTCATAGTATTTTGCTTTTATTTGGGGGGTTCAGTATTTGTCCATAGCTAGAACCCTAACAGGTGCTACCACTGCAAGTCAGGGTGGACTTGGGAACAATAGCAATTTAGAGGTGGTTCTATGCTCCTCAAAACCGCCAATCACCTGATCAATGGCTTTGCTGCTGGATGTACAATCAATTTTGTAAAAATTGAAAAGATAAGTAAAATAGCTATTAACCCTGACATTTTTTATGCAAAGCTACAAAATTCTCCAGAAAATCTTAATGAAAACTAAATTTTATATTGCAAGTGTTTGTTTTGTTCATCAAAATGGTCACTAATTGAAACTGGTAGACTTTTCACAGGACTGGGGACATAAAAAAAAAAAACTAGATAGAAAACAAAATACATCAAATAAACAAAATATATTAAATGGTACAAAAAGGAACAAAGTTTTAAATTTACTTATGTAAGCATTACTGGTATGTTAAAATAGACAATTTTATCAATTATTATTTAATTTTAGAATATTATGATGGAATTTAAAAGCAAATGAAGATTAATATATATATATATATATATATATATATATATATAAAACCAAAGTAAAACTCGTCTTTTACCAACACATTTCATCTCTTTGATAAAGTTCCTCAGGAGACAAAACATATTGGTAAAGAAAAGTTTTGATTTTGTATTTTATTCATAGCTTTTACAGATTATGTTTTATTTATATCTGAACTTTTACATATAATAAATATCAGAAATTAATAATAAAAACAAAGGCAATGACAAATATTGTGACATAAGATTATTTACTCTCTATAAAGACCTAAAGGAAATCTAAAATTAAATTAAAAAGCATTCATATTAGATTAAACATTATCTTAAAATTATGAGGGTATTTTATATTTATAATATAACATACCTATAATCCAACCAAGTTATAATAAATGTACTTATGATTGTTATTGGAAAATTAATTTGCTTATTCATATCTAGTTGAAGGACATTTTCTGTTGTGTTTATTAATTAGAAACATTCTCTAAAGAATTTAAATTAAAACATCCCCATGAAAAATTGATTGATGGGCTTGTCTTGTCTGGGTTTCAAAATGAAGTAAATATAAACTTCAATTCCAGCACAAAATTCTTGACAGTTCACATGTTGAGAGCATTTCAACCTAACTGAGAAAAGGCTGGTGTTATATAGCTCTCCCAGCACCAGACCCCACGCTGACTATTGGCTAATACCTGTCTAGTATCGTTCATATGCAAGTCTTGTCAGCACCGCCTACTCTAAGTAGAATGTCCTCTCAACAGTCAATTGTTGTGGAAGAGGACATAACTCCTGGTGCTTACTGAACCACACACAAACAACTCTGGGTCTCTTGTCGGGTTGACCCAATTCTCCATTGCAACAGATTTGTCTTGTAAGGTTTGTCAACCTACTGCAGGTTATTTAATGGCAGAAAATTAATTTTTTTTTTTTAAAGATAATAATGGTTTAATCATACAAATCTTACTAATTAACCCATAGCTGGGGGGAGAAGAGGTGGATTTGTACCTTTCCTAAGGGTATTTGCGTGTAAGTGAATATAATGAACCAGACTGGAATTGGAACTCGACTCTCCGATTAGCAATTCCAAGCCATTAACCATTACACGACCTGAACATCCAAGCTTATAGCACCTGGCATTCCCAAGCAGTCTCCCATCTAGGTACTGACCAGGCTTGACACTGCTTAACTTCAGTGATCGTATGGCAACTGGTGTTTCAAGCCCCATATGAAAAAGTTAACTAATTTAGCATCATTTTTTTCCTATTCCGCATTGAGAAAAATCACCCATCCTACAATCCAAATTGATAGGACAAAATTAAAGAACGATTATTTTAATCCCCTAAAAAAAACTTTAAAGATTCCATCTAATATAATAATAATTATAACGAGCTAATTTAAGAAAAATGTAAATTAAAAGTAATATTTTTTTTTTTTTTACTGGGATGATCATTAAGCTTCTAAATGTTTAATAAAAGAAAGAAAAGTTTCTTAATGTCACTAAACTAAAAATGGGCAATATGAAGAAATATTGTGAAGGCAGGAAAAAAATAACAAAAGTTGAAACAGAATTGTTTATTAATTGAGAACTTGTGAAAGTATTTGAGAAAGAAAATATCCAGGCTAACAATTTGAGCCAAGATTTTTAAAGCCTTCACATGATCTCAAACATAGTATCAGACAGGTTCAGGCCTCTTTTACTCACGCAGCAGATAGGGCTGACGGTGAAGGGGCAGGGTAGTCATGGTTACCCGGCAGAGGGAGTGGGGTCGACCCCGGGGTATTCGGTGTGGGTGGATAACCACTAGAAGGAAAAAAACAAACAAGACAACAACAATAAATTAAAGCTTCCCACAAAATTAAATAAAATAAATTAAAATGATCAAATTAAAAAAAAAAAAAAAAAAAAAAAAATACAAAATAAAAACAAACAGTAATAAGCATATTTTTTTTTTTTGTCAAAGTCCCCTCCAACCCACTGGTCCCATTTGTTAGGAATTTAAAAATTAAAGTTAATGAATTTTATTTTTTTAAAGTACATTTCTGTTTTAATTTGTATTGGTTTATCATGATGTATATTGTTTTGTCCGAGTTGTTCCCAAGTCTCAACCATGGATATCAAGAGACTATAAGTTTTGACCCCTAGAGTGCAAACAGGTGAGTTGGCATGTGCTTTGTCAGAGGTGGGAAAAAGTAATGTTCAAAATTATACAGAAGTTTTAAAATTAAGAATTCTTTTGTAAAAATGATCTTAGTTTTAGTACACCATTGAAAAACAAATCAAAATATTTTTACTTCCTTTATCTACATAGATAGAAATTTGCATTTTATTGTTGCTATTGCTATTAGCATTATTATTATTATTAATAATAATATGATGATGATGGTATTAGAGAGAGACCAGATTTTTTTTTCTAACCAAAACTTTTCAAGGGAAGAATTAACATAAAAAGAAAAAAAAAGTACAATTCCTACAAAGCAAAGAAATAACTGATTAGCAATTAACATATAAAAACAAAAAAACTTTGGAAAAGAAAGATTAAAATTTTAAATTGTAATTAATTTCTATAATAATAAACACACACACACTATATATATATATATATATATATATATATATATATATATATATATATATATATATATATATATATAGCGCTTCAAACATTATTATTGTGGATATTTTGTATTTGAAATAAATGTCCCATTTTTATTTCTTTTGGAGTGTATTACATCTATCAGTCTGCACATTCAAGAAATCTTAGTAAACAAAAATGCATTCCCTAGCAGGGATTGAACCTCCATCTCTCTGACAGATATAATACACACTATTTAACAAATGAAAACAGTGTGTATTTCAAATACACTGCATCCATTACAATAATATTGGAAATTTATATATATAAGTCAATGTTTTTTTAACAGGAATTGTGTTCTTAAGATTTCAGAAGAATTTATTAAATTTAATTTGATACGAGAAGGCAACTCTAAATGGGCTAATAAAAATTTAACTCACTACAGTAGTAATGGTCTTCAGAATTAGCTTGTTAACCATTACTCCCTAAAGAGACCCTCAAATTAGATTATCTTCTAAAATTAGTTTAACCCCTGCGTAAGGCCATAAATGTGGAGCATCCATTGAGGACAGAACTCACTAAGCGTAATGGTCTACAGCAGGGGTCCCCAAAGATGTTGATATTAACCCCTGGGGGTTGATGAAACTATTCAAGTAGTGGATAAAGGCATCATGGTGACTTACAACTAAAACTCACTAATTTCTAACCAAATATCAATGTCCTTGCTACTTCTCATGAAACACTTCCTTTCCATTAATGATGTCCACCAAATCAATAAAAAAGGTATATTTACTTATTTTTAAGGTGTTTATTATTACCTATATTCATTGTTTTTTTTATTAGTTGGAACAGACATGCCTAGTATAGGAAGAGAAATAGAAAACAGAATAACAAAATGTGAAGCTGAAATGAATTTTATTGAGTAACAATAACAAAAAGAAATTTTTATCCTTAAAGTAAATTAATTATTGATTTTCTTTTGCTCATGATTCAAGTCAATGAAAGATCAAGGATTCCATAAAGGGTTGAGCGTCAATAAAGTTTGCAGATTCCCTAGTCTAAAAGTTACATGGTCTAAGATCTTGTATTTTCTTATTATTCAAACAAACATGTATAGTACAGGAAAAGTAATAGAAAAGACTAAAATTAATCTTATTGAGAAACAATATATTTCTACCCTTAAATGAAAAATAATTATCAATTTTATTTTATTTTTTGTACATGCATAGGGTGTGAGCAATGAGGAATCAAGGAGCCAATGCTCTACAAAAGTTTGCGGACCACTTATCTATAGAGACATTCTTGTTAATCACAGCTCCATGGTGAGGGGCCTTTGCAGGATATTAATAAATTCTTAATAGCTGATAAGAAATAATTTTTTTTTTTAAATTAGCAAATTAATTGTACAGTGAGAAACACGTCATTTGAGGAATTACCAGCCTTGACTTCGCTTATCTGCAGATGGCACCATCAGAAAAAGTTTAGTGTTCAAAACTTATTGAACTAAAACAACTTTACAAAAAAATACATTTCGCTAGGGTAAAAGGACATCATAAGTATTTAATAAGAGTGTTGTATTCTTAAAGAAGTTTACAAACAGACAAAGGTGGTACTTGAGTGAAAGGAACAGCAACATGGGCATAGATGAAAGAAAGTGAGGTTTATTGTAAAAGAGAATACACTACTGAAAGACAGGGAATCAGTCAGCAAGCTAGTAATTCTCAAAGCAAGTCACCAGGTATATCCTGTACACACTATATATATCTACTGATTGGGCACCTCGAGGTGGTGTAATGGTTAGCAACTTGTCTCGCTAAAACAATTATGACTGTGTTGTGAGTTTGATCCTCACTGGGTGCCCCCTACTTTCGGCCTTGTGCCACATCTAAGCTACGCTTAGAAAATCATATATATCTACTGATATAGTCAGTTCACAATAGGCAATAGGGAGAGTGGGACATTCCATTACAACAAATAGTAACAGTATTTTTAAAATTTTAAAATATAGTTTAAATGTTATCAAAGCAATCTACATGAGGTGTCATATCTTGAGGAATGGAAAATAAAAAATTCATTGATTACTGAAAACTTTTGTCTAATTCAGTTTTTATATTTGCTTTGTAAAGCCAAATATATATTTTTAGTGGAGAGAGTTGCATCCCTTCTGTCATCAAATGGGCTAATGTATAGTAAAATATTGCCAATTAATATAAACACTGATTTTATAATTTTTTCAAAATTATTTTCTTTTGTTTTTGTTTATTATTTATTTTTTGAGACCAAAATTTTAATTGCATTTTTTAACATACGGTGTTGATTTCCCAGTGAAAAGTTTTGGATATACACATTTTTACTACTATTACCCTTGGATTTCATCATTTGCAGAGGTTTTGAAACCTATTTAACAGAGATAATGAGGTCTGACTGCACTTAATTTCAGTTAGAGGGTGAGGGAAAGAAAATTGTTATGACATGTAGTTCATTTTAATTTAGATTTTAATAAGGTCAATTTTAGAGGACAGAATTTTGAGTGACAAACATCAAGAATGAATATCAACAAGGTCAATGGAATGGAACAGAAAATTAAGAATTTAATATAAGTTTTTGACAATATCTTGTTTGTAAATTAATAAAGATTAAACAAGCCTGTGTACAAAGCAAAGCAGTTTACTTATCAATTTTCATAATGCACAGGCAATGTTTGAAAAGAGTCAAAATCCTCTTATTAAAAGGCACAAAGATTACCCAATCAATCATTACAAGATAATTTTTCCAGCACATATGCATACACAAAGTCAAATAATTTATCTGATGGAGTACTGAAAAGTTCTCAGCAAGATCAAGAAGCCAATACCCTGCCCACAATAAAAAAAAAAAAAAAAAAGAGCAAAATAGATGAAATATAAAAAAAAAAAAAATTTAGATGAAAAGAGCAAAACAGATGAAATAAGAAATAACTAAAAAGATTAAATAATAAAAATAACTAAAAAAAATAAAAAAGGTGTTAAGAAACAATTAAATAGGAAAAAGAAATAAAATTTTGATTCCTGGTCATTTAGCCAGATTTTAGGAAATAGGTCAAACTGAAAACTTTTCAGCATTTCTCATTTCAGATTGAATTTTTGTATTGGGAGAAAAAAAAAATTTAAGAAAAATAATTATCATCTGATTTTTTTCTTTTTGTAAAACTGAAAAATATTTTTGTTTTTCAATCTATGATATTTACCCATTTTTATAGAATACTATCAAAATCTAAGATTAGAATCACTGAATTTATGAATAACATAATCAACTGACTAAATAGCATTTGGGTATATACTCAAAAATATTAAATAACCATCTTACAACCTTGTATATATTTAAATATAAAATTTAATTCTTTCATTGTAGAAGGACAAAAAATCTAATTTTGAAACTTTTTAATGTTTGCAGTAACAATGGGGATTTAAAAATTAACAAAGGATTTTAAAATAGATGAAATAGTTGTAAGAGAAGAACCTTTCAAACATGCAAATTATAAATATTAGTTTAAATTAAAGTTAAATATAAAGAAATAAAACTTCCCTGGTCCTGACAAATCTCTTTTCCTTAAAAAAGAAAATAAAGAGACCTCCCTTTTCCTTTACTAGATTTCTGAAAATGCCTATAATAATTACTCCCCACTGACAAAACATGCAAATTATAAAAGTACAAAAAAAAAAAAAAAAAAAAAAAAATTTCAGGACATAGAAAGGTTCTACGCAAGAGATTATACAAAAGAATTAAATAAAGCATGTATTTTGTTATATGATTGAATGTGCATTATTTAAAACTGAATCATATTTGGGATTGTAGTAATAATTTTATTTCTGTTGGTTTGTTTTTTCAAGTGAATATTGCATTAATTTATTTAGAACAAAAATGATTTTTCCAGATATAAGTGCTACTATTTAACCCATAGCTTGAGAAGATGAATTTATACCCTTAAGAAAGTAATTTTGTTATATGAAACTGAAATTAAATTCGAGAGGTAAGGATTTATCATTTGGAAGATGTGTGAAAGGTGAAAAGGGTCACAGGCTAAAAATCATAATTAAAAATAATTTTTTTTTTTTCAATGACAGTTTTCACTCCCACCTGCTAAATCCTTCACATTGAGCAAAAGAAGAAAAAAATGTTCATTGAAAAGTAAATTATGTGAATGAAATGCAAAATTTCTATAAAAAAATATTAAAATTTCTCTTAAAAATATATTAAAATGAAATCTTTAGAACTTTAGATAAATATAGAATTAAAACAAACACACCATCTTTATTTTGTTTTGATTTATATTATCATGTCAAATTAGACATCCTTAAAATGTTTATCTTGTGGAAAAATAAATACAAGATCATAAAAGCTTTTAATAAAGCTCATTTTCTAGTGAGTGTTTTTCTTAAAATTAACTGTTTTATAATAAAGAAATAAGTGCCTTTGAGTTTATGCAACTATAAGGACTCTTGGAGACTCGGAATAAATCCCCAAAATCTCCCATTCATGAAATATGTTAGAAATATTCAATTTCAGATTGGATATGTATAGTAGGGGGAGTTGAAATAAACAAGGAGGTATGTCAGGTATCAATTTTGAACCATAACCATCCATTAGTACCACGAGGAGTTTGAACACACGACAAAAATGTTTTTCCCTAATATTTAGCAAGTGGCAAGTCAAATTTTCCCGATTAGTCAAGTACATTACTGAATACCTGTGTCAAGTAAGTACAAGGAGTTCCTGGTTTTAGTCATAATATTTGTGTTAATTACAAGCAATTTTTTATTTGTTTACTGATAAAAAAAAAACTATTTTTGCATATTTGAATTTTGTAAACTTACAAATTTTTTTTTTTTTTTTAATATTGGCCTTTTAATTTTATTTTTGTTTGTTTTTTTTTAATTTTAAACTCTAAAAACCAGGAAGTATAATCAAAAGTATGTAAAACAAGAACATTAAAAACTAAATAATATATCTATATTATAAATAAGGTGCTTGAAAACTCCATGGTACTAATGCTGTGTCCCCCACCCCAATGGAGTGCTAAAGTTTCCTAGTTATACAGCAGGAGAATAAAACAATATTTTAAGGGTCTTAATTTTTTTTTTGAATGCAAAGTTTATTCTCTCTCTCTCTTATATATATATATATATAAATAAAGAAAGCGAGAGAGACATTAAGTGTGAAATTTTAAATAATTCCATATTAATCATTTTTTATTTTAATTTCTTTTAAGACTAATCCACGTGTTACTTGTATACAAAAACTTCGAAGAGAGATAGATAGAAAGAAAAAATAAATCTTGAGAAACTCGATGTCAATAAACAAGGGTAAAATAAAAAATTATTTACACTATTTACATTCAGACTATTGTCTTCATCTTTGTTGCTGTTGTTATCACAATGTTTCGGCTGTTGTGCTCTCCAGCCTTCCTAAAGTGCATTTTGATCTGGGTAATCCTATGGGACAATAGCTTAGTGGATTAAAAGGTGGGTTTGTGAATTTGGTGACATAGTAATTGTGAGTTCAATCTCTCAAACGGGTAGTATGCTCTTTGAATCGGTGAAAATGGGGCAAGCAATAACTGAGCCATACTAAAAATAGTAACCAGACGAGATATTCCCAGACATGGGCAGTGGAACGAGAACAGTCTACCTCCTTAGATTAAAGGATTCAATTTGGAATTCCTTATAGGTTACCTGGATTGATATACACCTGATGAACAACAAAGATGAGGACAATAGACCAAATGTAAACAGTATAAATAAGGATAACTTCTCATCCCAGAAATTCAGACAGAAAATAAAGATTAATGTTTACATAATTTTCAACAAGTAAAAAGATAAAATTTTTATTTATATGGATTTACTAAGTGAAGCGTAGATGTGGCACAAGCCACGTGGGGCACCTATTGAGGATCAAACTCAATTACACCACATCAAAGTGGTAAATTTGTATTTACCTAGCTTTCAACATTTCTCACCAATAGTTCTAAGTATTTTGTATTTCAGATGTAGATTTAGTTTAAAAACTTAGAAATAGTGCCACTTCTGAAAGTAAATATTTTCCCTTCATTCTATGTCTGTTTTTTAAAAATAAAAGAATTAATTTCAAAGTTTTAGTCAAACTAAAAAGAGAAAAAACAAAAAGGCTTTCAGTCTCAAGTTATTCGAATCCAAAGATTAAATTTCCATCCCTTTTTAACCAAATATTTAATTTTTATTTTAGCTTACATCCTCTGACTGTTAACCAAAGTTGCACAACCTCAAAATGAACAAGGTTCTTCCAATGAGATTTGAACCCAAATCTATTATTTCTGGAGTTCAAGTCCTCTTGGAAGATATTTTTTTTTTTATTCACATTCCACATTATTTACTTGAATGGCTGGAGAGTATTCAACCAGGAGAGTAGATTAGAAGCAATAATAAAGCAAAGAAAAACATGTCAAAAACTATGCAGGCTTTTGTTTACATATATAAATAGATAAAAGAAAAAAAGGACACAAAACATAAGCCTGTTTTCAACTTACCTCGGACGGCTATAATTGGCCGAATCTCTCCTATATGGCATGGTTTGTTGATTAAAAGCAGCTTTTTGCATTTGCCCACCTGCAAAACTCTGAGGTTGTTGTGTGTAGTTTGGAGTAGACATAGTTGTATTGGTATATCCGGGAGTGCTGTGGGTAAAGGGTCCACTTTGGGTGGTTTGAGTAACACCCCAAACTGTAGTGACAACAGACAGAGATTGGGGTGTCTGACCACCCTGATTCCCCGTTGGCCATGCCGTACTTGGATCACTAGAAAAAAAAAAAGAAAGAAAAAAGACAAAAATATAGAAGAAAACAATTTTAGCAGATATTGAAAAGTTTTCAATAGGATATTAAGTATTTTTATGATTTTTTTTTTTTAAATGTAAGTAAAAATACTAGATAAAATATCCTATATTAAACAAGTCTTGTTGCCACTTTTACCATAAGTAGTACTGAGTACTATCAAATATTAAAAACATTTAAGTCAGATAAATCTGATGTAATACAGTATGATTAAAAAGTTTTTACAACTGCAAGAAAATCTGATAAAGAAAAAAAGAAAAATCTTGTAAAATTTTAAGAACTTCAAAGTTTAAAATCTAAAAGCTGTTTACATGAGAACAAAGTGACAAAAGTATTAATTAGAATAAACATTACTATAATGAAAAGTATTAATTAAATTAAACATTATAATTAAATAGGAAAAACAAAATCTCATTCTCAGAAACCACCCAAGTATCAAATATCCACAAATAGAAGTGATGTCTGTGAGCATTTGAAAAGCAAGCATTACCTTTAATCTGAATTAATCAGTTTTAGAATACCATATTTGATAGCGTGTAATCCACCCCCACTTCCCATAAAGTATTTCCTAGGATTTATATTTGAAGTTGAGGTATCTGATAGGCTAATGTTTATCCAGATGCTGTAGATTACAAACTTGTACATAATAGGTAAAATCAAATTTACATGGGTAAAGAATCTTATACATTGTCAAAGACGGTAAATAATAAAAAAGTAAAAATTAAAATAAAGCCAAAAAAGAACAGTTCAATGTTCTGTAAGAAAAGAGATTAAAATATTTATGAAATATTTAGTTTCATGTTTCGAGTCAAAGAGAAAATAAAACCATTTTTTTTTTTTTAAAATTCAATAAATTAAGAACTTAATATATATATAGAAAAATAAAAATGAAGTGAACTTTAATAATTGATTTTAAAATTTAAAATAAAAAAAAATAAAAAATATTTTCCCCTGAAAATCAACTTTAGTGAGGCTATCATGGCAGTAGTGAAAGTTTAAAGAATTAAACTTAGTTATTGGCTTTTCCAATAAAGTCCTTTAAAAAAAAAAATAACAATAAATTCCTTAACGTGAGGAAGAAAGCTTTCATGTTTGTAAACTAAAAAAAAAAAGCATCAAGAATCAGATAACTGGACAAGTCCTTTAGCTTTCATATTTTATTTTTATTCTGGAAAAAAATATTGCAAAATTGAGATGGAGCTTACAATTCTATTGACTAAAATAATGAAAGGGTTGATGATGAGAACTTGAATATTTTGAGGTGTGGTTGGTAAAGCGAAATGAATCGGCATCTTTACTTCCTTTTAGTTGTGGTTTATAGTTAGTCAGAGATGATAGGTAGGTACATACAATAATCTCGTGCTTCCTGTGGCGACGTGATTTCTCTAGTGGCTGTAATCTTTGGTAAATCTAAAAAGATCTATTTCCAGTGAAAGAAGAAAAGGCAGAAAGGAAGAAGAAAAAAAAAAGATGGGTGGGCAAGTTTGGAGAAAGAAAGAGAGAATGTAACAATCATTAAAGTGTTTCTCATCAAATTCTTTTAAAACAGTCAATAGGCATTTTTCATTCAAAGAAAGGAATATGCATTTCGTATTTTTTTATATATATATATACACATGCAAAGCTATTTCTAGCCAAATAAAGTTAAACAGGTTTTCAATTATGAAAAATTAACTCAGTTTTAGATATTAATAGAAGATTTCAATACGCTCCAGATAAGTCGGAGCATTTTTTTTTTTTTTTTAAAGGAACGCATAAAATCAACTTCAGTGACATGAAAATATGAAAGCAACCCATCTCTTTTGTTTTGAAAGTAGAAAAATTGATGAGGGAATAAACATATTCTATAACAAAAACATTTTGCCTGAATGGAAACTGGGAGCTATACAAGAATTATTTCATATTATTGGGAAGCAAAAGACAGAAAAATGGAGAGAAAGAGAGAGCGAGAGAAGAAAGAAAGGGTTCTTATATTATTTAGAAATGATTATGTGCAATATAGTTTAAGATAACAATCTATTTATAGAAGTGACTATACAGCAGCAGCAGCTATAGAGATGCAATAATGATGATGCTGATGATGATGCAGGAGGAAGAATTTGCTACTGCTGCTACTACTACAGTAAATATAACAGCAGTATTGGTGCTAATGCTTACAGCTTGAGTATATAGACGTAAGGTTAACAAGCGTAAAATATATATATAATTGATTTGTGGGTGACTACAGGGTGGATTGGAGAGGTGGTAGGAAGAGCAAGGGTTAGAGTTGAAGATGTGTTCTCTTCCAAGTCTTGGCTAATATTCAAATAATAAAAGTGTATCAGCTGGGATTCTTTCTACACCATTAATGTATGAAGAGCCATATTAAGATGAATTGAACTAAAAGGCTAGTGTTAACATCCCCCACCACAAAGCAAGCATGTGATGATGATGATGGACAATAGTATGTCAATTTTCCTCTTGCTCGGCAAACAGAGACACACACACACACACACAGTGAGAAAAAAAATGGGAGGAGTCAGAAGAGAACAACAAAATCAAGGAGATGGGTGGGAAAAAATGACAAGAAACACAGGTGATAACATTGCTAATGAGGACTGTACATTATTCAACAAAGGTAAAAATAAAAGGAGAGATTGACAGAAAACAGATCAGAGCAAACAAGACACACTGATTAATATCCTCATAAACACACATGAAACAATTTTACATACAGTTTATATACATGTACAAGGTTAAAAAAAAAAAAAAAAAAAATGTTACACATTATTTACCAATATATATTTTTTCTTTTTATAAAATATACTAGTAGAAAACCCATAATTTTTTTCTTTTTTTTTTTTAAATCATTTATTTGCTTATTTATGTATAAAGTGGCAGTTTTGTCTCCAGCCAGCATAACATCTAACTTTCAATCTCAGATCAAAGTGTCACTTCCCAGAATTTCTATCTAAGATCAGCTTATGGCCAAATCACACTGAAACACTGGTTCCCATACAATCACTGCAGTTAAGCAATGTTTCACCTGGTCAGTACTTAGATGGGTGACCACTTGGGAATACCAGGTACTGTAATTTTGAATGTATGACGGGTGTTATGGATAACAGCACAGAATTGTTAATCAGAGAGCCAAGTTCCAATTCCTGTCGGGTTTGTTAAATTCACTTATGCACAAATACTCTTGAGAAAGATATGAATCCACCTCTTCTCCCCCCAGTTATCGGTTAATTAGATAAACTTGTATCACTAAAACCATTATTATCTAAAATAGAAATAAAAAATTGCATGCAAAACATTTATATTTCGACATCAAATAACACATAGAAGTTGATATACAGCTAACAGAAACAACCAATCATCTAGGATCAAAATGTGACATCCTGGCACTCTTACTTTGGAGTAGTGCAGTATCTGTGCATTCTGCCAATGAATAATGTAATATATGCACATTGCAAAAAAGTGCTACACACACACTATACTTTTTTTATGACTATGTTATTTTAGATACCCATATTTGAATAGACGCTCAATTTATTTATTAAACAGTATATTTATCTTCATCTACCGGCCTGCTAAAAGTAACATTTAAAGTGGTAAAATCTGTTGGACTAATAAAAAAAGTTTGAGTACTTTAGAAATTACACACATTTTTTTATATATATATATATATATATATATATATACACACACAATATAATGGGGGGGTCTATTTCAAATACAAAGCATCCACAATAATAATGTTTGAGGTGTGTGTGTGTGTGCATACCTGGCTTAGTGGTCAGAATATTTACTTTCCAACCACGAAACCTGGGTTTAAATCTACCAATGGTCAATTTGTTAGAAAGATCACTTCTTGAAATTATCAGTCTGAGGGAGATGATCCCAGTGCATGGCACCATTGGAATGTGCTTTTCAACCACACCATGAGTTGATCCAAGCCTTATGAGCAAAATTGGATAAATGCAATCATTTATCAATGGTTTTGCTAGCAGGAAATCATTGCTCATCGTGACAGAGTGTTTCAGCATACTGGCCTTGTTCAAACTAGTGATCACACCAGGTGATGCAACCTCCCCCAGAAACTGTAACTAAGGTCTGCTTGGCACAGGTGCAGTATAAACCACAGGTGGGCTCTGTAGGTGTTGAACAAACACAAATGCCTCTGAGCAGGTGTCTATGACAGGAATTCGCTAGCCACCCTAGCTGATGAATTGTGCTTGGAAAACAAAGGTAGGTAGCCAGCCATTATATATAATTGATAAATTCCAGCAACTGAAATGGGGTTTGGATTTATTTTTCTTTCTAATTATATCTCTGATAGTGTCCTTAATACCACTTCCAAGACTAATATTGGGGGTAACTAATTTATTTTCAAATTTTGTAGAAACAGTGTTAGAGGGCAGGATTATGAATTCTGTGTTGTTGATGTTAGAAGCACTATTGGTGATGTCTAGTTTTTGTGATTTGTAAACACCGCCAATAGCACTTCTAACATCAACAACATAAAATTAATAATCCTTCCCTCTAATGTTCTTTCTACAAAATTTGAAAATAAATTAGTTATCCCCAATATTAGTGTCTTTACTACCACCTCCGAGACTATCAGAGATATTATTAGGAAGAAAAATAAATTCAACACCACTTGAGATGGCAGGATATATCAAAAAAGGTGCTTACAATATAAAAACACACACACTATATATATATATATATATATATATATATATATATATATATATATATATATACACACACAGTGTAGACACAGGAATCATCACTGGATGGTGACTGCATCAGGCTTCATTGCAATCTTTAGACTATGCTCACTGTCTATATCTGATACTGAGCAGTCCTTTTATAAACATATCAAATTTTAACAACACCCTTCCCACACACACACACATTTTGTTTTATATATATTTGGATTTATATTATAAAAAAAACAAAATTAACATTCTTAGCATGATGCACTTTTTGCTCGACATTGCTTTATCTCTTCCTAAACATTCAAAGACACTTTCTTACAAGAATTTGTGGCAGTTATTTCCATGTCACAAGATATTTAAATGCATTAGAAAAGAAAAGAAAAAAGAAGTCACAAGTTACGTTTTGCATCGATTGCTTTTTATAGCTTTAAAAAAATAAAGGGACAAAAGTAATGAAATCCACAGCGAATCATTGTCATTCGTTATTCTTTCTACGGAGGCATTCACATGAAATTTAGTCTGTTAAGTAGTTTCTTCTGGGAGAAACATATAAAACGTTGGTACATTTTTAAAATGAAGAGATTCAAAATTATTTAATTTGTCAAGAAATCAAATCAATGGACACTTAGCTGGAGATAAATATATAAATAAAGAAGAAAAGGTTAAGGAAGAGTAACATTCCCCTCCTTCCTCCCTCCCCCTCCTGTGTCACAAGAAGTTGTTTATTGAAAGTGAAAATAGACACAGGGAAATAGGATTGTGCTGAGATAAGAGTTATCGAACTTTAAATATCAGCAGCAGCTGCTCCTGCTGCTGCAGCCCCAACTTGACATATGCTTGGGATATGGCATCGTTTTAATTCACCTAACTTGAAAATGGAATAGAAAACACTGTTTACACATAAACCTAAATTCGGGCCATTCCATTTGGGCTCATCAGAGGGGTGATAGCATCTTCAATTTGATAGACTTCTGATATTTTTTTTCCTTTCAGAAAAGAAGCAGAGATTAAGGATTGGGATGGGGAGGTTCAAGGATGTGCAATTGGTGAGATTGAGAGAGAGAGAGTTATTTAGCCTTGTTGTAATATGAGCAACAGATTGAACTGAGTGACTTAGTCAGGCAGAAGGTTGCTGCTGGTGTTTGGCGTGCCTCCAAATTATTCTCATAACACAAATACAAAAACACACCCAACAAGAAAAGCAAGTTCTTGCTTCTGGTGGATGCAAAGCAGAGAGAAAAACAGCTAGGCAGTGTGTGCAAAGCAGAAAGACAGAGTTTGCCAAAGGGTGCACAGGGAAGAGTGAAAGAAAAAAAAATAGGGAATCAGAGAGAGAGAGAGAGAGAATTGAACAGAGAGAGAGAAACAACTAGCCAGAGTGTGCAAAAATCAAAGAAAAAAAAGGATAGACCACAAGTCAGAGGATACAGAGAGGGAAAGATGGAAGAGAACGAGATAAGAAAAGAGAGAGAGAGAACCAGCAGAGAGAGAGAGAGAGAGAGAGAGAGAACCAGCAAAGCAATGTGTGTGTGAGAGAGAGAGAGAGAGAACCAGCAAAGCAGAGAGAGAGAGAGAGAGAGAGAACCAGCAAAGCAGAGAGAGAGAGAGAGAGAGAGAGAGAGAACCAGCAAAGCAATGTGTGTGTGTGTGTGAGAGAGAGAGAGAGAACCAGCAAAGCAATGTGTGTGTGTGTATGTGTGTGTGAGAGAGAGAGAACCAGCAAAGCAAGGTGTGTGTGTGTGTATGTGTGTGTGAGAGAGAGAGAGAGAACCAGCAAAGCAATGTGTGTGTGTGTGTGTGTGTGTGTGTGTGTGAGAGAGAGAGAACCAGCAAAGCAATGTGTGTGAGAGAGAGAGAGAGAACCAGCAAAACAATGTGTGTGTGTGTGTGCGAGTGAGAGAGAGAGAGAGAGAAAACCAGCTAAGCGAGAGAGAGAGAAAACCAGCTAAGCGAGAGAGAGAAAACCAGCTAAGCGAGAGAGAGAAACCAGCTAAGCGAGAGAGAGAGAAACCAGCTAAGCGAGAGAGAGAGAGAAACCAGCTAAGCGAGAGAGAGAAAAACCAGCTAAGCGAGAGAGAGAGAAACCAAAGCAAGAGAGAGAGAAACCAGCTAAGAGAGAGAGAGAAAACCAGCTAAGAGAGAGAGAGAAAACCAGCTAAGCGAGAGAGAGAGAAAACCAGCTAAGCGAGAGAGAGAGAAAACCAGCTAAGCGAGAGAGAGAGAAAACCAGCTAAGCGAGAGAGAGAGAAAACCAGCTAAGCGAGAGAGAGAGAAAACCAGCTAAGCGAGAGAGAGAGAGAGAAACCAGCTAAGCGAGAGAGAGAGAAAACCAGCTAAGCGAGAGAGAGAGAAACCAGCTAAGCGAGAGAGAGAGAAACCAGCTAAGGAGAGAGAGAGAAACCAGCTAAGGAGAGAGAGAGAAAACCAGCTAAGCGAGAGAGAGAGAAAACCAGCTAAAGAGAGAGAGAAACCAGCTAAGCGAGAGAGAGAGAGAAAACCAGCTAAGCGAGAGAGAGAGAAAACCAGCTAAGCGAGAGAGAGAGAAAACCAGCTAAGCGAGAGAGAGAGAAACCAGTTAGGGAGAGAGAGAAAAACCAGCTAAGCGAGAGAGAGAGAAACCAAAGCGAGAGAGAGAGAAAACCAGCTAAGCGAGAGAGAGAGAAAACCAGCTAAGCGAGAGAGAGAAAACCAGCTAAGCGAGAGAGAGAGAAAACCAGCTAAGCGAGAGAGAGAGAAAACCAGCTAAGCGAGAGAGAGAAAACCAGCTAAGAGAGAGAGAGAGAAAACCAGCTAAGCGAAGAGAGAGAAAAACCAGCTAAGCGAGAGAGAGAAAACCAGCCAAGCGAGAGAGAGAGAAACCAGAGAGAGAGAGAGAGAAACCAGCTAAGCGAGAGAGAGAGAAAAGAGAGAGAGAGAGAGAAAAAACCAGCTAAGCGAGAGAGAGAGAGAAAAGAGAGAGAGAGAAAACCAGCTAAGCGAGAGAGAGAGAAAACCAGCTAAGAGAGAGAGAGAAAACCAGCTAATCCGAGAGAGAGAGAGAAAACCAGCTAAGAGAGAGATAAAACCAGCTAGAGAGAGAGAGAGAGAGAGAGAGATAAAACCAGCTAAGAGAGAGAGAGAGAGAGAGAGAGAGAAAACCAGCTAAGCGAGAGAGAGAGAGAGAGAGAGAGAGAAAACCAGCTAAGGAGAGAGAAAAACCAGCTAAGAGAGAGAGAGAAACCAGCTAAAGAGAGAGAGAGAAACCAGCCAGAGAGAGAGAGAAAACCTAAGAGAGAGAGAGAAAACCAGCCAAGAGAGAGAGAGAAAAACCAAAGAGAGAGAGAGAAAACCAGCTAAGAGAGAGAGAGAGAAAACCAAAAAGAGAGAGAGAGAGAGAGAAACAGCTAAGGTGGGGAGAGAGAGAGAGAGAGAGAGAGAGAAACCAGCTAAGCTAGAGAGAGAGAGAAAAAACCAGCTAAGCGAGAGAGAGAGAGAGAAAAACCAGCTAAAGGAGAGAGAGAGAGAGAAACCAGCTAAGCGAGAGAGAGAGAGAGAAAACCAGCTAAGCGAGAGAGAGAGAGAGAGAAAACCAGCTAAGCGAGAGAGAGAGAGAGAGAAAACCAGCTAAGCGAGAGAGAGAGAGAGAGAAAACCAGCTAAGCGAGAGAGAGAGAGAGAGCGAAAACGGGCAAGAGAGAGAAAATGAGAACACAGGCTAAGCAAAAAGAGAGAAGTGAAAATGAAATGGGTACAAAGCAGAGTGAGGGAGAACTAGTTATTTAGAATGTGCAAAGCAGATAGAAATACTGATGAACACAACCGGCCAGAGGGTGCAAAACAAAGAAAGTGTGAGACAACTAGAAACTCTGCCCGCCTGAAGGTGCAAAACAGAGAAAGCAAGCGGCAGCCAGAAATCCAGCCAGCCAGGAGGTGCAAAAGTCTGAAGTAAAGAGGAAATTAGCTATTGGATGCAAATCACCATTACATTCTTTGACATTTATCTATCAAACAAATATACCAATATGAATATCATTTAATGTTTGGTCTAACACAAATTGCATATGACTATATATTTTGTAAATAGCATGTACAATTTTCAAGTTGAGACATTGTAATTTTTTTTTCTTATTGGTTCTGTTTTAAAATCAAATATCTTCACAGTAGCCATGCATTTGTCCACGCACATCTCTATCCATCTCTCACACATATTGCAAAGTTCATGGATTTCAGATTACCATGTTCCTAATAATTATATTTGAATTACCATTATGATTTTAATTGATGTTAAGCAATATGGATTCATAATCTGTCATTCCTTGTGTAGCCTTAATGTAACTTGAAAACCAGTCAAAGCGCACCTTACTGCACATGTATGAACAGATACTCTCTAGTGTGGTTACTCAGTTGGCATGTCTGATATCACATAGATCTGTCAATATTTGATTTGTAGTGTTCCTTCAAAACTAAAACCACCATAGAAATGGATGTGGTTAAAGATAATGGAGATCTCAAAAATGGCCTTGCAGATTTTAAGGATAAGTGTAGGATGTTCCAATGAAACTACAGTACTACTACCCTATGCCATGTCCTTTTAGGTTATGAGGGATCATGGTTCCCAAAACTTTCTATCCCTTGTGGCCCTTCACATTGCTTATACCTTTACCAAGACACCCTCTACCACTATTCCATTCACACAAGTTCAACATGTAGGCTTGAAGTGTTTGACAAAGATTGCTTTCGCTGCATTCTACGATGCTGCCAAATCGATCGTGTGTCCACAGCCACTCTACGTCGTTGCCTGAGTCTCCGTCCTCTTCCACCCGTCCTGCTCCAGTGTCATCTCCAAAGGTTCGGGCATGCAACTCGACGCCCAGAGGGAGAGCTCGTCTGCGATGTATTTCTCCCTCCTTCTCTTCCTGGCTGGCGAAAACATGTCAGTGGGCAGCTGAGGACGCGGGTTAGCACAATCAAGGATGACCTAGCAGTACTATCGGGTACACAAGTAGTTGGTCTTTGACGATGGAATCACAATTGGCTTGCCATTTCGTGTAACCTGGCTCAGGATTGGTGAGCGTGGGCAGCGATGGTCCGTGATGCTGTACTTGTTTGGGAGGAAGCCAGTTCAACCCGACCAGGGTGAAAACCGATACAAGTCAAGTCAAGAAACAGATAGGTTGACTTCTAGTGTCTCCTGCCCTCGATATGCCAAGTTAAGGTTAAGTTTTTCAAGCCCTTCTTCCTTATATGCCCAAGAAATTTTAGCTATTCTCTGTATTCTTTAGGTGCCATTTTTTTTAAACTTCCTTGTTGGTAACTTCAGTATCCTTCTGTAGAATCAGATTTCTGTTGATTCCAGATTGTTGTTCATGTATCGGAGGATTGTCCAGCATTCCCTGCCATACAAGAGGATGGATATGACCTCACAGTCCAACATTATTTTCTGTTTTGAACATTATGTATACTATTTTTTCTTAATGAATAGCTAAAGACTTTCCAGACACACTTTTATGTAAGTTAACAAACAAATAAGAAACATTGATAAATCTGAAAGGTTTCACTTTTAATAAAACTTCAGAGAATGAAATATGGATGATAAAAAGAAAAATTTGCTATTTTTAATTTTTAAAATTTAAATATATTTCTTTTTTTAATTAAGAAAACTTCGCATTCATCTGTCTTGTCAAGTAGCATTTGTGTGTATAATTCATGTATCAAAAGTCTAGTTTGTTTACATAAGATTCAGATGATAATGTATGTGTGTTTGTCTATTAGGCATTATATCTTACTTATTATAAAACGCAGATTGTGTGTGTGTGTGTCTGTACGTTTATATATTGGATCGGATTTCCTACATTTTTCAACCGATTTCAACAAAACTTCACAGGACTACGTAAAATTACCTTGCGGTGGTTCTGACAGTGCCAAAAATTGGAAAAACAATTGTTTTTGCACAAAATCAATTTGAAAACACGATTAAGAAGCATCACTCGCCAAAATGAAAGGGGACAACTCATATCGAGTTATACTTATAAAACCCAGGTTGTGTGTGTGTGTTCATTTATATATGGGATCGGATTTCCTACATTTTTCAACCGATTTCAACAAAACTTCACTTTTTTTTTGGGCAGGTAGTGTTTCTTATTGTCTTGCACACTTTTTCTTTATTTTTACATTCAGAATGCTTTAAAATGCTTTAAAAATTCCATTTACATTGTTTATAATAAAATTCTATTCAATCGATAGACTCATAACGATTGAAAACAATGTTTTTGTTTGAGTTTGACCAATTAAAAAAAAAAAAAAAAAAAAAAAAAAACCTAATTAAGAGATGCGTGTCCGTCATCCTTAAACAATAATCTTTGTCAATTTTATTTTTCAGTCTTTATGATGGTCGATACTTGATCTATCTCTTACTATTACATCCCCGGGCAATGCCAGGCTCTACTGCTAGTATATATATATATATATATATATATATATATATATATATATAAAAAAGACAGATATACCTAAGGTCTCCTTAACCAATGGAAAACAAACCCCACAAGAATTCTAACAGCAGAATTTTTTTTTAAAAATGCTTAAATAAAAAGTAAAATATGTTATGATTTATAAACATTTCCTATTTGTTTTTATTCTATCATTCTGTTGGATTCCAATACCCCCCCACTCTCTCTCATATATATATATATATATATATATATATATATATATATATATACACACACACACACACACACACAAAATAATCAACTTATGGCCTTGCTTACAATTTCAATTTTACAACCATGACTGCAAATTGTTGCCTGGCCATCTCACCCTTCTTTGATGTGTAAAGTGGAAGATGTTGAGGGATTTTTAGATCTAGAATCCAAATGAGTAACTAATTATATTGAAAGAAGAAAGAGTGACAGAAGAAGACAAGGAGAAGTGAAGAAAGATGTGGAGGAGGAGGAACCAGAAAGGAAATTTACCACTAAGGGATTATCAGAAGTCTGATCTCTATTGATACATTTTGAAGGAATTGACCCAAACATCAAATGGCTCACGTGTTTTGTCCAGATCATGAAATTTATGAGAAAAAGCAACAAACAAAGCTGACCAAGTTTGTATGGGGGGAACCCCCCCCAAAAAAAAACCTCAAGTTTTCCCAAGCCCTACCCCAGCTGATGACATTGATACTCTACAACCAAGCACCACTGGCTAATAAGATGGTTTGTATTTGCATGTATTATGGTATATTTTGCAACTGTTTTGTTTTTTGTACCTATATTTTGTTTTTTGTATGTTTAGTAAATTTAAACCTGATGAACTAAGATGAAATAAGGAACAAAATGTGTACAGGTTATACAAATGACATCAAACAAAAAAATCATAAAAAATACAATTATGTGTAAAGAAGATAAGATTGCAAAATTAATTACAAGCTGATTCACAGCCCATTAGTTGTAATTAATCATGGTCTAAGTTGACCGATGTCCTTTCTAAGTTACACAGAGTATGCGGAGTAAGTTAGTCTAATCATATCTTTACTAAGGAGTTTACTCCTAACTAGTAGCCTTGTGCCAAACCTAAGCTAAGTAAATTTAATACCTATAAACAAGTTACATGTATATGCAATGTGTGAAAAAAACTACATATTGTTTAAAATTTGGTATAGATAAGAGAAGACTTGAGGTAACAGAGATGTGGATCTACAGTAGGATGCTGAGAATACCATGGATGGAGTGTGTAAACAATAAGAAAGTTTTCAGGAAAATAGGAACAAAAAGAACACTTAGAATCAGAAAAAGACAGTTGAAATTTCTGTAATGCACAATGAGGCAAGAGAGCTTGAAGAATTTGATACTCATAGTATATAATGAAGGCAAGAAACAGTGGAGAGCAGCAAGCTACCTAACAAGCCTGTGTAAGTAGGGGTTGACAGATGACAAAAATACAAATACTGCTAAAAGCTACAAAGGATAGGAAGCCATGGAGAGCCATTATCACCCACGTCCAGAAGGGACATGTGTCATAAAAAAAAAAAAAAACAAAACAATACAAGAACACTCAATATAGGGAACAGAGTGTTTGTAGATATAAATAGTATGGGCATAAAAATCAACACTGCAAGAGGACAGTTAGTTTCATGCCTTAAACAATTATCACACTGTGTGACTGCTCTGTATGGAAGAATTGGGAGTTTATGGTAAGGAAAGGGGTTCATAGGTCACTAGGGGGTTTAGAGAGAGCAGGTGTGGGTTATAAGCCACTAGGGGTTTAGAGAGAGAGAGCAAGTGGGGGTTATAGGCCACTAGGGGTTTAGAGAGAGAGAGCAAGTGGGGGTTATAGGCCACTAGGGGTTTAGAGAGAGAGAGCAACTGGGGGTTATAGGCCACTAGGGGTTTAGAGAGAGAGAGCAAGTGGGGGTTATAGGCCACTAGGGGTTTAGAGAGAGAGAGAGCAAGTGGGGGTTATAGGCCACTAGGGGGCTATGAAAAGCTTGGCGGGAGATTATAGGCCACTAAAGGTTTATGGAAAGCTGTGGGTGGAGGGTATAAGCCACTCAGGGTTGACAAAATGCAAGGGAAGGAGGAAACCAGTATTTTCCAGTTTTTTTTTTTTTAAGGGCCAATGTTTTAGACCTTTTATAATTTTGAACTTTGTCTATTTCATTTATTTACTTTTATTTATGTCTACTTTCTTTGGCTTTTAACTTTGGTATTTAAAATAAAGTTTATTAGATTTAGGATGTAGGCAGTTATGACTCTCCACAGATTCCTTTCTTTGATATTTGTGAATTACCATGCATTCTTGGGAAAGATAGTCAAGTGGTTTCCTGTTACTTTTCCCATTGTTTTAAATTCAGAGTTGTTGTCATCCTAAACTAGTTGGCACCTAAGTCTAGAGGGCTCAGTCTACCCTACTATTTAAACCATAGCTGGGATAATTAAATTGCAAAACCTAGAAAATATACCAAATTGCTGTTTACTAAATTTAGGGAGTTTATTTTAAGAGCGTGTTACAAACAAAACACTGTTCTGTAAAGATTTATTTTTTGTCCCTGCCTTTTTTGTTTATACAGAATCCTATAAGAGTATGGTGAATGTTAAGAGGGGAGAGAAAAAGAGAGGGGGGAAAGAGAGAAAAAGAGAGGGGGGAAAGAGAGAAAAGAGAGGGAAAGAGAGAAAAGAGAGGGAAAGAGAGAAAAGAGAGGGAAAGAGGAAAGAGAGAAAAGAGAGGGGGAAAGAGAGAAAAGAGAGGGAAAGAGAGAAAAGAGAGGGAAAGAGAGGGAAAGAGAGAAAAGAGAGGGAAAGAGAGAAAAGAGGGGGGGAAAGAGAGAAAAAGAGAGGGGGGAAAGAGAGAAAAAGAGAGGGGGGAAAGAGAGAAAAAGAGAGGGGGGAAAGAGAGAAAAAGAGAGGGGGGAAAGAGACTGCGTGTGAGAGAGTTTACTAATAAACAATTCTGTAATGAATCAAGTACTCTTTAAATTTGCTTAATTAAAGATTATCTAATGGTTTTCTATTTTGAAATCATTTAATCAATATACAACCCACCATCACAATCTAGCAGATCGCCTCCAGCAAAGATACAGGTTTGCTTTTTAAAAGGATTGATAAAAAAAAGTGTTTACAAACACAGAATAGATGGGATACATTATCATATCATGGGATTTGCCTCTCCATCATGTTACTAAAATGAGTAAACGCCTTTTATAAAAGCAAAAAGATTAAATTTCTTGAAGCAGCAAAAAAGTCTCTAAAGTTTTTACAAAAAGTCAAAGTTTTCTTTTTGGTGAAAATTCATCTGAAATCTGGAGATGAAGCAGTTTTATTATTTGATGAATTTTTGATGATCTGACAGATAAAGATTGCTGAATAGAGATGTCTACTAAATTTTGCTTAGTCTGTCATATGTCAACAAGACCTGCTTTTAAGACTCTTTACAAATGACTTTTGGTAGTACTACAGGTAATCCCTTTGCAGTGATGATAGATGGCACTATCTTTTTTTTTATTATAATAATAGAAAACTGTCCCAAGATATTAAAGCCAGGTGACAAAAAAAAAAAAAAAAAAGTGAGAGCAAGGTAAAAATTATTTATCCACTTGAGCAGTCATGAGCAAACTGTAGTCCATTTGGTTTTCTGAATTGCACAGATAATTTCATGAGGAAAATAACATTTATTAGAATTTGGTTTGTTTTGTTTAACTCTCACTTGTTCACTCTCACACTCTCACACATAACCACAGACTTGAACAATGATTAAGTCCAATGTTACTTGAACTTTTAAACTTTCATCAAAGGTAACATTTTCATCATTTTAAACCATTGGTGATCTTCACTAAGGAGATCAAATGTATAAATATCTTTTGCTTTAGAAACAAGAAATTATAGAAAAATCTTTTCTTCAAAGGTAGAAAAAAAAAGTTTTCCCCATTTCTAAGACAGACACTTATATGTAAGTTCTTCTGTAATGAAAATGGCTGAGGCACCTTCAACAAAAAATTACCTTTGAATCTTTTTAGTAGTGCTGTCTGCCTTATGATAAGCCATATCCCATGCAGCCCACTGGTTGGAAAAGGTTGCCCATGCCTGTACTAGAGATTGGTATAATGGACATATTGTACACATACTCTAATCCCAGGCAGAATTACCTATCCATATCCATCCCATAATAGTTATTACATTTGTACGTACATATTGATACTTCTTTTAAGAATTAACATCTATAGGCCTGCAGACATTAATTTCACAGTAATAAGAAATAATTAATAGACCGAATGTAAAAAACTATTATGGGACAGAAATTTTTTTTTTTTTTTTTTAAATCTATCTTATAGATTTATTGTTTCTGTGCTTCTAGATCAGTGTGGTTATACAGCGTTAAAAAGTTCTCAGCCCAACCAACTTTCTAAAATATAACCAAAAAAAAAAAAAAAAAAAAAAAAAAAAAAAAAAAGAGAGAGACTCTTCTTGGTCAGGCCAATTGATTGATTTGTTTTTCAGAGTTTGCCAACCTTTTGCAAGTTATTTAAAGTCTAAAAATATTTGTTTTTAGATTGTAATTTTTTGAGGGGTGGGGGTGGTGGAGACAATAATGCTTTACTGATACTAGTCCTACTAATTAACCTATAGCTGGGAGTGGGAAAAGAGGTGGATCAATACCTTTCCCAAGGGTATTTGCATGTAAGTGAACATAACAAACCCAACTGGAACTCGAACCTGACTCCCCAATTTCCAATTCAGAACGATTATCCATTATACCGCCCACACACCCAAACTTACAGCACTTGGTATTTCCAAGTGGTCACCCATGTAGGTACTAATCAGGCTCAATACCTGAACTTGTGAAAAAACTAAATCACTAAATTTATTCATGAAACAGAAAAACAATATATTACAATTTCTTGAAAATATAAGAAAAGAATGAACTTTTATTTATTAATCCGACAGATTTTATTACTTAAATGTTATTTTTAATGGATACTTGTATTCAAATAGTCTGTTTTTCATCTACTGGCCTGAATATTCAAGAAATCTTATTGCATATTTTTCTCTAATAAGATCTTGAGTATTCAGGTTGGTAGATGTTCAGTTTGTATTTATTTATTTTTGTCTATCAGCCTGAATACACAAGAAAGCTTATTAAAGAAAAATATGCACCCTCCAGCAGGATTTGAACTGGCACCCCTCTGTGCAGAGAGAAACTAACTTAACCAACTCAGTTACGGAGCAGCCTCACTGATCAAGCAAAGTTTGAAATGTACTTTTAAATGAAATCACTCTTATATTAAATTCCTCAAAATTTTCATATCTGCTCAGTTTTGGATCAAAATGTAAAACAAAGAGTTATTTATTAAGCATAGCTTAGATGTAGCATAAGGCCAAAATTATGGAGCACCCAGTGAGGATCAAACTTACTACCTAGTCATAATTGATCTAGCATGATAAGCTTGCTGACTATTACATGTCTGGAATGTTATAGTGGAACACATCTATTCTATAGTTAATAGACTCTCCCACCTATAATAAGTGTAAGTAGTAAGAGTAACAAGTCAGTCGATGTCGGATGACAGTTAGTCGGATACTAAAGTATCAGCGACCACAACTAGATTTACTCTGCGTAATACCTATTATATGAAGTTCCTAACATTTTGTACATTGAACCTGTTTTTAGGACCCACTTGGTACAAATACAAGCCTCCACTGTGAAACCACTGCACAACATGGAGAAAGTTTCCACAGAGAGGAGCTAATAACCTCACCAAATTTAATTCAATGATGGAGATACAGCGTGCTGCAGACAAAGGTTTTGTTTGGTCTGATGAGAAGCTTTTCATTGGGGAGTCTATAGTCAACTACCAAAATGATAGGGTTTATGCCAATACACCAGGAAAATTTCCTGACAGTGTCAGAATGTATTTCAAGTGACCGTTGGGCTGCTGTTACTTCCAATGATTCAAAATCACCCTGATCATTGAAGAAAAGGAGAAAGTGAATAGCAAAGTTTACCAACAAATGTTAGCAAGATGTGTTGCCCTGGTTGTCAGCCACATTTGGAAGTTGCTATGTTTTCACTCAAGAAGGATCTCCCACACACATGGCCAATTTGACAAAGAACTGGTGCAAGAGATCTTTCCATGGATTTTTTGACAAGTCAATTCAGTTTCCATCAAGCCCTGCAATTAATCCTATGGACTTTGTGGTATGGCCCATATTGGACAGCAATAACGTTTCACATATCTCATAAGAGTCAGACTCGAAAGAAGCTCTTATGATGTGGCAGAATTCGAGTGAAGTCATGCACTTCAGTTGAAAAGAGGTTAAAGGCTATAGTAAAAAGAAAAGGGTGGCCATTTTGAATTGTAAATATATGTAAAATACTGTCAATAAATATAACAAGAAATGTGTAAACTTTCATTAACCAAAATCTAAAACTTTATTTTCTGATAAAATGGATAATGGGTAAATGCATATGCCACGCACAGTAGATAAGTTTAGCCGAGTCAGTTACAATGAAATAAGTCATGCATACAGTGAAAATCAAACTCGCAGGTCCTACTTTGTACTTAATTTTCATCAATGACTATCATGATGGTATTAGCTCTCAATTTGGTATCTATGCTGATGACAACCATTTACTCCCGTCTGGATCACATCAACAAAGTCAAATTGGCAGCTGATCTCATAAAAGACCTACAGTCTGTTGTTAACAGGGACAAGAGATGGGTTGTTAATTTTAATGCCTCCAAAACAAAACTGCTCTCAATCATTTGAGAGACCTTTTCTGCCTTCCATTAGCATGACTGATGCTAACCTCCAAAAGAGTGACTTGTGCCTTTTCAGGCTAACATCCTTGGCTGACATGAAATGGAAAGACTATATTGAATCCATCACTATGTCTGCTGCCAAGAAAGTTGGTTCACCATGTCATGCTAGACAATTTTTCTCTCCTGAATCTATCTTACATATCTATAAGTCTACCATTTGTCCACGATTCAAATATTGCTGCCATGTATGATCTGGTGCCCTGCTTGATAAATAGAGATTCTTGATAAAATCTAAAGACGAATCAGCAACACTATTGGTCCAGACCAGGCATCCCAGCTTCAGTCACTTTCCCACTGCTGTAAACTTGCTTTCCAGTGTCTTTTATATAAATACTTTAATGATAATTGTTCAGATGAGGTCTTCGCTATACTATCTAGACTTTATGATACTAAGTGCAGTACTAGATTAACAACAAGGTCTAACTGGTTTACAGTTGAATTGGTTAGATGTAACCATAAGTTCTATGTTAAATTTCTTTTCTCACACTTCTTACTTGTGGAACTCCCTTCCAACTTCTTGCTTTCCATACAAGATTAATCTTCAAAAATTTAAATGTAATGTCAATCATTATCTACTGTTTTCCTGATTACTCTTGTATTGTTTTTACTCCTCAATAATGATTATTTCCTAATTTTCTCACACTCAGTGTTCCCTTGTGTTTTAGTGGCTTTACTGCCTTGCATGAGGTGAATTTGATTAAAACAAGAAAAAAAAAGTCTTATTAACCATTACATAATGGTGACTTAAGTTTAATCGTGGAAACTTAGAAGAGATTTTTTTTGTAGCAAAATTTAACCGGAGAATTCATGTCATGACTGACTCATAAATATAATCTGAGAGCTGTGAGTGGCTGAACAAGTTATCTGAACTGGAAATGCAATAGAGTGTTTGAATTTCAGCTGAAGTCATTTACCTCAACTTTACAGTTATACACTTGCGAGAAACATTGATCCATTTCTATTGTCCAAATTACTTGACAAAAATGTCGTGTCACTGGCATGTCATGATGATTGAGGTAAAGTAGTGAGAACTTGGGTAAAAACACTTATTTTATCAACTTGGAAAGAAAACCAACATTTACTCTGTAGGTTTTGATATAATTAAATTTTTTTTCAGTTATATTTTAATTAA